ACACTCATGGCAGTTGGGCCTGGAACACATCCCTGTACTTACAGAAAAGCACTGAACACTAGTTCTCAGCCCTTCATAGTCAATTCCAGTCAGTTTCATCTTTGGCCACTCAAACCTCCATGTACCTTCTCACTAATGCCCTTACTTCCCATGTTAACAGTGTGCATCTCCCCTGCCTTTCAAGGAAGCCTACCCTGCAAAGCCCTGAATACACCCGCAACCCCAGGTTGTTCTCACTTTTCTGCACATTTCAAAACTCTTTCTGCTTTCTCTCTCCTCTGCCCAATCCCAAACTCTTGGCTCCCTGCCTTGACTTTGATTTTCTCTCTTACTCCTTGAACCTGGGGCTTCTGTTTAATCTCATTGGTCCTGGTTCCTTGCTTATAAGCTCTCATTAAAAGACCATAGCAAAGATTGCTTAATATCTTAATATACTTCAATATCTCTTCTGCCCTTCACTGGAATAATGGACCCCTTCACTTGTTTTCTGAGCTAGTGGTCACCCAAAACTAGGTTGTAAATGTGAGTGGAAGGGAAAACTGAAGCCTAAGTCACTACTTTAAAGTCTGTTACAGCAAGGGTTTCTCTACTGGACTTAATAGGACTTGAGCTTAAACTCATCCTTCTAGATTCCGGGGTAGCACACCCTACCCAGTTTTGCCCCCCTGGAAATTCATTCCCAGTGACTAGTCCTGCAGCATTTCTCCTCTTCATACAATCCCACCCAGCAGGAGAGAGCATAAAGTATTTTTCTCCCTCTGTCCCTACTCCTATTCCTCCATAAAGTAAAAGCTTACTTTCATATCCAAAGGCCCATATGTTAAAGGCTTGGTCCCTAGCTCATGACACTTTGGGGAGGTGATGAAACCTTTGAGAGGTAGGGCCTAATCCAGCATCTCCCAACCTTTTGGGGTTATGCCTTTGAAGTGAGTATTAGGATGTTGGCTATTCCTCTTTCTCCTTTTGCTTCCTATCCACTCTGAGGTGAGCATCATTTACTCTACTGTGTGCCCCAAACCATGGTTTCGTGTCTCGTCACATGTCTAGAAGCAACAGTGCCAGCTGGCTACAGACTGAAACCTCTGAAACTCTGAACCACAATAAACCTTACTTCTTTTTAAGTTGATCATCTCAAGTGTTTGTTATTGTAATAGAAAGCTAATGCATCCCTTCATTTTTTGTATTTTCTCCATGTCCAACTATTTAAGACACTTTGACACTCTGTGGGACATGGAATCTTGTTCTTAAGGACCTGAACAGCCTTAACATAGTGGCTGGCACAGAGGTGCTTAGTACCTGTTCCATGAAGTTGTAATCTGGAGTAAATAAGCATTAAACAACAAAATGTCATTTTAGTAACCAGCTGACTAAAATCTATATGATGGTTGTTCTTTAAGATTATATTGCCTAGTGATAACATAGCCATAGGAGTTTGTTGAAGTACTCCTTGTGGTATTTTCACAACATGAAATTGCCTCACAACACATTCTCTGAATGTATCCCCATCCTTAAGCCATGCATGTCTCTACTTGCAAAGTGCCAGAACAGTGCCTAGAACTTGTGCTCAAATCATTGCTGTAGCTGCTGCTATTAAGTGCCACCTGAGTCAAAATTTTTTTTTTAAAGAGAGAGTGAGAGGAGAGAGAGAGAGAATATTTTAATATTTATTTATTTTTAGTTGGCGGACACAACATCTTTGTTGGTATGTGGTGCTGAGGATCGAACCCGGGCCGCACACATGCCAGGCGAGCGCGCTACCGCTTGAGCCACATCCCCAGCCCCATGAGTCAAAATTTTTATCTCCCTTATGTTCCCTATAGAATCAGCATAGCATTGTAGAGTTCCCCCTTGTAGCTAGCTGTGTTTGGATATGCATTACCCTTGAGCACTGACATTTCACGTTTCCTTTAAGAGAATGTCACTGCTTATATTATTGCCCACTGCCCTACCTGAGTGTGACAAAAATTAGAAACCACCCACTTTGAAAGTCAGAAATCAAAGAACCTTAATTCAGGAGAATTGCAAATGTATATTGCACCTTTTGTCATTGCTGTTTGTAATGTGAAGTAACATCATTTAGAATCATCTTGAGACTAGTGATATTTGTCATGTGCTTGTAACATAAAATCAGCTAACTAATAGTACTGTTAGTACTTGTTTTCCAATTAGTGGTTATGATGTTGATTTTAATAAATTAGGGCTGGTGGTAAATACCATGAGTTTTAATATGTGCCAAAAACACAAGAGCTTTATATGCATCTTTTCATTTAAGCCATATAACAATCCTATAAAATACAGATATTTGAAACACAGATAAAGAAACTACAGCAGAAAATGTCAAAAGATTTACCATTGGCTATAGGTATTATCATTTGTAGTGTTAGGATTAGTATCTAGGTCTGCTTTGACTCTTATACTCTTGCTACTAATACTAACTTGTGTAACGAATGTGTTATTTTTATCTCTTCTCATCTTGGGAATTAACAAAGTTTAGTTCTCAGATTGTATTCTGTTTAAGTCTCTTAGAATTAATTTCTCAATCAATATTGTGTGTCTTTTGCAGGAACTACCTTATTCATTTGCTGGTTTTATATAATTAGTAATAACAGCTTGATAAGAACTGTTATTTATACATTTGACTGAATTCAGCTAATTTACAAACAGTGATTTCTTAAATCTAAACCATAGATAGATTCATGAAAGCCAAAATTTGATGACAAGTCTCAGAGATCCCTCCAATCTGAGTAGGAGCAGGCAATAAGAAACAAATGCTCTAGTAAGTTCCCTTTTCAGACAGGCTGATTTTTTTTACAGTCTCTCTGATTGAGTCCCTTTTTTTACATGTAGGTACCAATGCTCTTGTCCAAAAAAGGTTCTGTGTATCAGCTCTGCTGTAGACCAGCACTGGCTTTCTGTTCAAATTTCATTTTATTATTATTATTGTGTGTGATACTTAGAGATTTCTTATATTTTTCTGTGAACTCAGTATTGCATCTAAAAGTATGTTTTGGAGGTAATATGAAGCAACTGGAACTCACACATACTCATGGGTGTACCAATGTACAGTCACTTTCAAAAGCTCTTGCGGATGCCACAACCTACACCCTAGTGATTCAGCACAAGTACATATACCCAATATTTGTGGACCACAGGATATGTATTGCAGTGTTCATAGTGGACCCAAATCTCCCTCAACAAGAGAATGGATACGTATTCATGTAATGAAATACCATTTAGTAATGATTTTTTTTAAAAAAAGCAAGATGAATTATGACCACTCCTAACGCATGAATAAATCTTAAAGACATTATGTTGAATTAAAGAAGCCAAATATAAAAGTATACCTAAATTACAATTCTATTTATATGGAATTCAAAAACAGGTTAAACCAATCGCTGATTTAGACATCAGAACAGAAGTTATGGGGATGAGAGGCTAGAGGTTGAAAGGAACAAAGTGCTCCTTCCACAGGTTTGTTCCCTTTAGATAGTGCTTCAACCTGTGCACTTAGGTAGTTGTCTATGTGAATATTATACTTCAAGAAAAACATTTTATATTAGAAAAGAAAAAATTCATTTTACTCAGCAGAAAAAAGGGTGCTCAGGAAGATTAGAGAAGGCTTTGCAGACTGCCTGATTTACTGTGTTGTCTGAAGTGTCAGTCCCATCCATGCCCATATATGCACAACTCTGAGAGAGAGAGAGAGAGAAGGAGGAGGAGGACATTACTTGGTTTGGTTTTTAGCTCCTTCTCATTGTTTCTGTTTTATTCAGTTTTCTACATATTCTTGTGGAAAATCAGTATACAAATTATGAATTAGTAACAGTTGCTCCAGTAGAACTATTTTTTTTTGTTAAATACCCTGATATAATATCCTGCTGTGAAATTCTTTTTTTAAATTAATTTAAAAAAATAAATGACTGCATAATACATTACAATTCTTATTACACATATACAACACAATTTTTCATATCTCTGGTTGTATATAAAGTATGAAACTTACATCTATATGTATATTGTCTTTTAATTTGCCTTTGAAGAATTATGAGGAGTAAGACCTTTCACGTAATAGTTACTGATAGTTTTTGAAGGAAGATTTTCTTAAGCAGCTTAGTAGGACAAAAAGCTGAAAAAAGGAACATAATTTTAATTAATATCTATTGGGAATGATTTTTTTTAACTCAACCACGATGTTCATGTTTTTAAAATAAGTAAGTAGGGCGGCATAAGTTCTCAAATTACAAATGTGCTTATGGGAACTCTGGGAAAGAATTATTGGAGCCCTGCACTTTAGGAAGGCAGTTTGTAGTCTAGAAGGCAATAGGGAGCATCCAATGATAGCAGTGTTTTTGCTTCATATTATCAAATTACCATGAAAGGGTACTTGAAAAGTCAGTTTCATTCTTAATTTCACTCTGCAAACCCAGCAATTAATGAGCTAGTCATTTTTTAGTCATCAATGGATTTTTTATTTTTTTACTTGAGGTGCTGAGGATCAAACCCAGGGTCTCACACATGCCAGGCAAGCACTCTACCACTGAGCCACAACCCCAGCCTAAGCATTTTTTTTTTTTTTTTGGTTGTTGTTGGTGTTCTTAAAACCTAAGAGCCTTCCCTGAGAGCAATGACTCCCATTTAAAAGAAGGGCTCTTTGGGATGAGAATATACACAGTGGTAGAGCACTTGCTCAACCTGTGCACTTATGTAGTTGTCTATGTGACAGGCTCAAGGTCCTAGATTCCATCGTCAGCACAGATTGAAAAAAAAAAAAAAAAACCAAAAAAAAACTTACGTAAATGAAGCATTCTTTGCTTTTCAGTTCTAGACACTATTTAGATTAATCTGAGACCAGTTTGGTTATTTGGGTTGCTGGAATTGAAATAAGATTTCTAGCTGTGAATTCTTGATTGGCTTGCCACAAGCAACTGGCTTTTCCTTTGGGTTTTGCACTCAAGTTAATTCATTTTGACGTGAAGGTAATAGAGGTCTTGTCTTTGCAGAACTGCCTAGAAATCTTGTGTAGGCATGGAGGGCTCGAGCCAGAAAAGAGAGACAAGTGCAATCGGACTGTGCATGATGTTGCCACAGATGACTGCAAGCATTTGCTGGAGAATCTGAGTGAGTGGCATTAAAAGCTGGTTGCTCATCCTCCCTCTACGCCTCAGGGGCCTTTGGGATAATGGGAAATACATTATTGCAAGTACAATTTTCTCATTCCCTTGTTAACTTCTTTTGAACCCTTGCTAATGCAAAAACATTTTATTGATGATAGATGTAGCAATTATTTTTTCTTTCCATGTAGAATGACATTACAGAACAACTTGCCATTCAGATAATGCTAGATCTTTATTGTATTCTACTGACGAATCCAGGAGAGCTCTCTAAATATGAATTGCTTTTTTTCTTCTCACTTAGATTGTTGTTCTAGACGTTAGATTTGCCAGGGTGGGTGAAATCCCACTGGGTACTCTGCATCAGCTGATCCTCTGAGAGAGGCACGTGGGTTCTCTCCTGATGCCTGGTTGCCTATGAATCTATGTATAATTGATAATCTCTTGGGTCCCTTCAGCTCCAAAAGTATAGTCTCCTTAACACCTTTCATGAAAGGCTCACTAGTGGGTTTATGAATATGGAATGCCAGGTCAAATAAAATATTATGACTTATATCAAGATTATTGCCCAGCCCATCCATTTTACCAGCTGTTTTAATAACTCAAGGATGAACAGAATTTTAAAAGTTAAAATAATGTTTTAACCTTCAATCTTATACATAGATTTGCATTATTTTATCTCACAAGGAAAACTTAAAATAGTAAGGAAAAAATACATGAACTGTAAAAATACAATAATATAGAGGCAGGCATGTGGTGCACACCTGTAATCCCAGCAAGGGTGGCTAAGGCAGGAAGATCACAAGTTCGAGGTCAGCTTCAGCAACTAAGGACCTAAGCAACTTAGTAAGACCCTGTCTTAAAAAATAAAAAGGGTTAACTTAGTGTTAAAGTGTCCTTGGGTTCAATCTAGAGTCGGGTCATAAAAGGCCTTATATTCCTTGTGACTCAGTCCTGTGGGTAAGTTTTGACTTAATGCTGTGAATTCTGAAGAATGATTATAAGCAAGTAAGTGAGTGAGAGATTAGAAATGTAGAAATAACATCTTATGTAGGATGCTGTAGGAGGAGGGGGCACATGACTGGTACCAAGTCAGAAAGAACACAGGCTAGAATTAGCTAGTGGGAGCAGGGTTGGAGGAGAGGGTCATGGTTATCAAGTCATAGGTGTGCTGTTAGATGGGGCAAAGTGTAGGGTGAGGAGAAAGGGGGATTAAAGGCCATGCCCAGAGGAACCCCCAATTTTAAAAGCTGAATAGAAGGGAAAACTGACTCAAAAGGAAGACTGAGCAAGATTAGAAAAGAAGTTAGGAGACTTATCTCTGAGAGGAAGAAGTGATTCAGTACTATCAAATTCTCTAAGGTATAAGGGTTAAAAAGAGAAACAGCCGCATTTGGCAAATAGGAAGTTGCTGCTCATAGGGAGACAAGTTTCATGCAGTTCAGAATCCAGAAACTCATTATTTTAAACAATGAATAATATGGAGAGACAGTGGGAAAAAAACAAATTCAGATTTCTGCCCTTTATTCATTCATTCAGTATTGAGCTCCTCAAGTGCCAGTCACTCTCCTGACCATATGGGGTAAGTCAGAGTTTAAAAAACGATTGTTATCCACAGGGTATAGTGCAGGCCTGTAATTCCAGTGGCTTGGTAGGCAGGAGGATCTCAAGTTGAAAGCCAGCCTCAGCAAAAGTGAGATGCTAAGCAACTCAGTGACACCTGTGTCTAAATAAAATACAATAGGTCTGGGGCTATAGCTCAGTTGTCAAATGCCCCTGAGTTTAATCCCCAATACTCCCCCACTCTGTCCCCCAAATCATGAAGACTCTATTCTAACATTAAGGGACAGGAAATGTGCAATAAACATCATTCATTACATGGTAATATGAGGTAGTGAGATGTGCCATTGAAGACCAAGGGGGATTGGGAGTGGATTTTGATTTTTAAAAAGGTCATAAAGGTAGCCTTCCTGGTAAAACATTTAAGCAAGGATTTGGAAGAGGTGAAGATATATAGATATCTCAGGTAAAGATTTTCAGGCAGATCCTCAAATGGTGCGAGGTAACTGGTAATTTCTGAAGAACTGCAAGAAGGACAAGGTGACTGGGTTAGAATAATGAGAGAAAATCAGGAAACAGGTTGGAGAAAGTATAGAATAGGTTGGAGGCCTGATCTTGTTGGAATTTATAGGTCATGATAAGGACTTAAGATAGCCATCGGGGTGACAGATCTAATGTATGTTTTAATTGTCATTGGCTGCTTTGTTGCAAATAAACCATACAGAGTCATGGGTAAAATCAGGGCCATCATTTAGGATGTGACTCTAGTAGTTCCACATGAGGGACAGTAATGGTGGCTCAACCTAGGATGGGAGCAGATGAGGTAGTGAGAAGTACTTGGTTGGGTTCTGGAGGTGTGGGATATCAAAGTGGCAGAACATACTAATGGATTGAATGTGGAGTGTTGAGAGAGGGAACTCATGGGTTAATTCTAAGTTGTTCAACCTCAGAGATTGGCAGGATGGACTTGCTGTCAAAAGAAGGAAGGTTGTCAGAGGTTGAAGCAGATTTTTCTGATGAGGATATGGAGTTTAGTTTTTCGTGTGTGAATCTGAAATGTCTGGGAGGCTCTCTGTGTCAAGCCAGCAGGAATTTTGGAAGATGAGTTATGAGTTGCATATGTAAGTTTGAGAGTCAGCAGTCTACCCATGATATTTTCAGTCATAGGACTACATGAGATCACTAAGTAAGTGTGTTAGTCAGCTTTTTGTTGCTGTGATAAAATACCTGCCATAAACAACTTAAGGGAAGAAAGATTTATTTCGGCTCAAGGTTTGAGAGGTTTTAGTCCATGTTATTTGACTCCATTGCTTTGGGTCTGAGGTGATGAAGAACATCATGGCAGCAGAAAGCTGCTCAGCTCAGCTCATGGTGGCCAGGAAGCAGAAAGAGAGAGGGAGCAATCAGGGAGAAGATACCATCTTCCAGGGCACACTTCCTCCAAATAGGTCCTTTCTCCTATAGTTTCCATCACTTCCTGATTATGCCATCAAACTATAAATCCTTCAGTGGACTCAGTCACTCATGACATCAAAGCCCTTGTGATCAAAGCCTTCAGGATTTTCCAGATTGCTCCCACCCCTGAACACTGTTGCATTGAGGACCAAGCCTTCAACACATGAGCTTTTGGGGAAACATTTCAGATGCATATAATAGGAAGTGAATGTAGAAGATTTTAAAATAAAAATCTCTGAATCACTCTGTCATTAAGAAGTCTGGAAAAAGTGGAGAGATAGTGAAGAAAGAACATCAAGAAAAAGAACAACCAATGAGCAATGAGGAAAGCTAGTAGGAGTCTGTCACGGAGCAGAGAGAGGTCACTTACATCAAATGCTGCTGATAAGAAAGATAAATAAGAACTGACAGTTGGAAGATAAAATAATCCTCTGATAGCTGATCAGCTAATGAAAGCCAGTTTTAGAAAAGGATCATAAAAATATACACTTTAAATAAAGCATTGTAATGTTAAATCTTGCAAAGTAATTCTTTCACTGAGTTTTAGTCTTTAGTATTGTTCTTCTGAGTTTTACCTATTCTTGTTAGATCAAAATGTACATTTAATGTATCATCTTATGATTTTTAGTGTTAGAGTACTCGAACACATTTGTAAAGTAAACCAAAGATACTGTCTGTCCAGAGATTATTACATTTTATCTAACTGCATATAGTTTTCTCATTTATACCTCATTAAATGACATTTTTAGTAATTCCATTAAGTGTCTCTAAAGCATTCAGCCTAGTTTTCATAATAATAGTAACTCATATGTCGTCAGTTTATGGACTATTAAATTTACTAATTTCAGTAATGAGTTGAACAGGCATAGAAGATCTGGGAACAGACACAAATGACTCTTAGTAAACATATAATTTAAATCAAAAACAAGTGCACAGGGATGGCACCCACTGTGGTAGAGCCTCAGTCAAGTGCTGTCAGAGAAATTGAAAGATCACTTAAGAAGTTCCTGTTGCATTTTTATCATTTATCCAATATTTACTAGTGTTTTCCATGTAACAAATAATGTATTGAATCCATTTCAAACAGAAGTTCACTTAGTTTAAAGAATAAATTGAGGTATAGCAGTTTCAAGGCAATTCACCAAATATATGCAGGTAGGAAAAGGCCAAACCTGAGGCTCAGACCAAGCTCTGTAGAATTCTCAAGCTGCCATCATGAACTTTCTGGCCTGTATAACTATTGCCTGATTTGATCATCATATTATCTATAAAGATAAGGAGAGTATATAGAATTCTGGATCAAGGAGGAGCTCTAGTTTTCTTAGATTTTTTTTAAATGATTTGAGACTCAAAGGGAGTCAATGGAGTACAAAAGGTTAAAGGTACAAGGAAAGATAAACAGTTCATACAGGATACCTCCAAAGAGACTGTGAAGAGATTGGGAGACCAGACTTTATTCCAGTATAAGACTATTCAATTTAATGTCTTTAAAGAAAAAAGTTTCATATCTGCTTATTTTATGTAATACTTTTGCTGTTTTTTTTTCCTGTCAAGTTTGGTTTTTGTTTTATTTTTGTTGTTGTTGTTGTTGTTTTGTTTTTGACTTCTAATTCTTTAATCTTCTAACAGATGCTCTTAAAATACCCTTAAGGATTTCCTTGGGTGAGATTCAACCAGGCAACTGTGGTTCTGATGACTTTGAATGTGAAAACACAATATGTGCTTTAAATATCCGCAAACAGACATCATGGGATGATTTTTCAAAAGCAGTGAATCAAGCCCTGACGAATCATTTCCAAGCAATCTCTTCTGATGGATGGTGCCGTCTGGAAGACATGACATTTAATAACACTACAGACTCCGACATTGGCCTCAGTGCAAACAGTGTACGATCCATCACGCTAGGTATCAACAGACCTAAAGTGGAGACACAGTTAAATTGCTGGCTTTATTTATGTTTATGGACATCATAACCTGATACTCAGTTCATTGATTCAGCACAGTTAGTGCTCTTTTATGGCAACTTCCAGTGCTGAGAATCTTGAATATTCACAATGTAGCCATTACATAATGTAGCCTGTTAATATAAAAAAAAAATGCTTTTATGCCCCAAATAACACCAGAGAGTAAAGAACATGAAAGCCTTTGATGAGGCTTTGTGATTACACTTGTATTCTAGATAAATGCAAGAAATCAACCACACCACAGCTGCTCGCTAAAACACGAATTCTGAACACAGCCCCTAATTTCCCTAGCTGTGCCAGGAGCACTGGGGTACATTAACACCTTACCTCCAAAACAAGTGTCCTGATGAAGTCAAGGGTTGGAAATGCTTTAATGAAGATACGTTCCAAGCTCCCACATGGGATGAGTCAAAGTGGTAGCTTGTTGTTTCTATTTGAGAGACACAGCAAGAGACTCTGAAGGACTTAGAAGATGAGATTTTCTTTCTGCTAAGCATAGTAGGTGCCCTAAAAATGTTGCAATCTCTGATTAGTTTCTTATCTTCTGGGCCAGAAGAACTAACATCCATGGGAAGCCTCTTTTTCAAGAACTATTTTAGACGATTTATGAATGTTTTTTACAGTAGCCTGATTGTGCAACTAACTAGGTATTAGATGATTTGCCTCAGGTCACACAACTAAGGAGCAAAAAAAGATTCAAATCAGTCTGTCTGATTCTTTTCCACGTTAGCATAGAATGGTCAAGGCTGAGGGAAGGGTGAACTTTTAAATGCCTATTAATATTATATCATAAAGAATATTGTTCTTGTTATAGCAGAAAGTATATTATTCTGTGCACTAATATATGCCAATTCACTTTCAAAATATACATTAGCACTAGGTTTTAGAATAGATTATTTGTGATAACTTGAGTTTATGGGTCTTTGGCATGATCATTAAGATGATTATTAGTATAGCATTGTTATTCAATTAAAAATTTTATTAAAAAATAAGTCATAGATGACGGTTAAGAACACATTTAATCAACAGAACAATGGATGCTAAGGCCAGATTGTTTCAGTGTTCATGCTTGTCACAGAAATGTAGCATATTGTAATAGTATTTCAAATGTAAAAAGCATTGAGTGTTGTGGGAGAAGTGCTTACGGCTGGCTGGCTGTAGACACTTGATAATTGGTAATGATAATATTATCATCATTAATATGTGTTTACAGGTGATTTTAATGTATCCATAGCATAAGCTAGACTAAAGGAACATCAGGCTAACAGAATTCTTGATGGGGTATATGCATGAATATGCTGAAAATAGACTTTTGAAAGAAGTGGTCTGTGGAAGGGTAGAGATGAAAAAATACTCAATGCTAATCCCTCCCTAGAAAAGACATGCATGAAGTAGAACCCCTTCCGAGCAGAAGTAAGCAGAGGATTGAATCTGAGAAAGCTAGCCCTTTTCTGAGCATCTGAAATTATCTTTTTATTTTTTCCTGGAATCCCTTTTTGCTGGAAAGGGATTCAGGGACAAATCATAAAGGATTTGATATCTCATCCACAGTGCTTGGACTTTGTGAATCAGACACTGGAAGAATCAAGAAATGGTTTTTATGTTATGAGCATCTTTGCTTTTGAGAACTTGATTCTAGAAATATGTGTCTATAGTTTTGCTCTCTAGATACCCTTTTCAGTCCCTTCTCAGGATGACTTTTAAGAAGTCTGTCAATTGAACACCTTCCTTTTGACTTTCAAAACATTTACTCTTAGGGAGTTCACCCCTTGTGTGGCCTGTAACATGTACTGTATGTGCCTTGTACAACATAAGCTCTGGATTCCTTTGAGTTCTCACAGAGGATGTGTGTTTACCATTATGAGAACATTATTTTTAAAGTAATTCTTGACATTTTATTTTGTTTATTTAAACTAGGAAATATGCCGTGGTCCACTGGTCAGAGCTTCACCCAGTCCCCATGGGACTTCATAAAGAAGAACAAGGCAGAGCAGGTCACTGTGCTTCTGTCAGGTAACAATGTTCCAAGTTGAGGTGACATTCAAGGAGTGTTTGCTTCATGACTGGTTCACAGTCTGCATGTTGTCCTACCTCCTCTAGTCATGCATGTGACACTCCCACTGTGAGGCAATTAAATGTTGGGTGTTTGGTTTTTTTTTTTTGAAACATTTGATTAAGAGAAGGAAAAATGAAAAGCCATGTCTCTGAATTCTCAGGGGATGTCGCACTGACCATTGGCTCTGCTAATGTCATTGTACCTTTTATTAGAAAAACCCAGAGACAACCAAAAGTGGTGGGGCAAACCCATAATCCCAGAGACTTGCAACACTGAGACAGAAGGATTGTAATTTTGAGGCCAGCCTTGGCAATTTAGTGAGACCATGTCTCAGAATAAAAAAAAAATAAATAAAAAGTGGGGTGAGGATATAGCTGAGTGATAGAGTGCCCTAGATTTGATCCCTTGTACCCTCCCCTCCAAAAAAAGGTTCCCGGAGGACCCCACCAATTAGTCCTTCCCCTATCTCAGGCAACCTCCAAAGAGTACTCTTGATTTTTTTTCATCATGGGTTACTGTCACCTAGGAGACGTTCAGGGAAATGATGGCGCATTGGTGTTTCTTGACCAAATGTCAGCTCTGCCTACAGATGTCCACAAATATGTTCTTTCTTTGATGATAGGTTCTGTTGCATTTTGACCATCTCTACTTAACAAGGAAGAGCTAATTTTCCTTCTCTATATTTGTTTCTTATACAGGTCCCCAAGAAGGCTGTCTCAGTAGTGTGACTTATGCATCCATGATCCCTCTTCAGATGCTACAGAACTACCTCAGACTGGTAGGTGGACACTGTCAGTGGAGGCCTCTACTTCCATCTGGCTTCTTCAAAACCTGGTGGTCCATTATTATGTTTATAGGAGTGAAAGCCCTAGCTCTTTCCCTGGCAGGCTGCAACCAGTTCATCTGGAGTTAGTTGTTATCCAAGTATCCATTTCCTGGACCCAGAGACCACCAGTGACTGGTGTTATAATTTGGGCAGCAGGAGGTTGTCTTCCCTTAACAAGGATTTAGCATCAAATGAATGATCATCAGTATGGACGGGAATGGTCATGCATATCAAGATGCTTGACTATATGCATTTATGAGTTAAAATTCAGTAAACATATTAGTTACAATGTTGATTTGGCCACTTTTGCTTTTTTGAGTGGTTACTGGGATTGAATATAGGAATGCTTTTACACTGAACCACATCACCAGTCTTTTTTTTTTTTTTTTTTTTTTTTTTTTTTGAGAGAGGATCTCCCTATGTTGCTGAGGCTAGCCTTGAACTTGCAGTTCTTCTGCTTCAGCCCCTGAAGTAGCTGGGATTACAGTCAGGCTATGTTCAACTGATATTGTCACTTTAACAGAAATCAAGTCATTCTAGCTTAAATAGAGCGTTTATTTTTCTTGAGCCTGCTGATAAAAGTCCCTGAGTGCCTGCCGATAAAAGATCTGGAGAGGAGGAAAGTGCATGTCAACTATTCCAGCATCACAGCACCTTCTTCTCTGCTCCACTATTCCCTAGGGTGGTGTTTGTGTCACTTGTTAAAAAATATTCACATCCACATCCTAGCCTGAGAGAAGAGAGCCTGGAGGGCAGGATTCTTTCTTTCAGAGGAGTCTCACACCACACTCCTGCTCATATCCCATGGAATGGAATTTAGAATTATGTCCATTCCTAGCTGGCAAGTGTGGCCTTTGGTGGAGTAACCATGCATCTACCTAAAACTGGATAGTCTGTTACTAAAAAGAGAAAAGGGAATATGTTTATCAAAAGAAATTCTAGAAAATTCTAGATACAGAATGGATAAAGGTAATGCTTTGTATTCATTAAATACTTAATACATGCTAGGTAATATGCTAAGTGTTTTCTTGTGTCTTATATATTCTTCCAAACATCCTTATGCAGTATTTCACCCATTTATTTATTGATTAATCAATTTTAATAGAGAAACTGAAAAAAAGAAGTAATTTGCTCAAAGCCACATACCTAGTGATAAGTCCATTGTGCAAGTCCCTGAGACATTATATCTGCATGTGAGAGATTTATCCAAAACTAATGCTAATGGTATAAAACATTAAGTGAATAATAATTTTACTTGCTGCCTTAATTTAGGTAGCCTTTTTTTGTTGTTTTTTTTTTTTTAAGAGTCTGACATGGCTTCGTTTTCACTCCTGATGAAAAAAGGATTCAGAACCATTTCATTGATCTAGCCAGGCTCAAAGTTGGGACTGACCTTTGTACCAGCTGCATATATACATTCAGAAGCCTCACAGTGTGGCAGAGGTGGTGTCACTTTCACTTTGTTTATTTTCTTTACTATTTGCTCCATTTCCCCAATATGCCTGGCAGAAGGAGATAAGTTTCATTCCTTTGCTTGAATAAAAGTTGAAGGAACTGTTCAGGAATGTGAGCGTCAGGCTCTGATGGAACCATTTCCTTCTCTTCTCACAGCATGTTTGTACCTGTTCAGATGATGAAATTGGTTTAAAAAAAAAAAAAAGGCAAATTTAAAGATCTTGATTGGTTTTGTTTTCCAGCACTTCATTCCATTAAATAGTATATAAGTACTCCAGTGGGCTGGTCAGTGAGGAGTTATAAAAGCAGAGAAGGGTGGAAGAAAGCAGAAATGAAGAACATGAAGTAAATTGGTCATCTCAAAGTTACTTTCTTTGTAAGGCAAAGACAGGGAGATAGAAAATAGAAGAATAAGTAATTGGTTAACACCAGGTTACTTCAGGTTACTTTTGTTTTTGTGGTTTTTTGTTTTTGTTTTTGTTTTGCTAAGTTGGCCTGTTTAGGAAACAGGCTCTGCTTGCTTGCTCTCTCCCTCTTTCTTTCCTGTCTCCTCCCCTCCCGTCTCCACCCTTCCCCTCCCCTCCCCTCCCCTCTGGGTTTTCAGAAGAGATAATTTGTTTGTTTGTTGATATGGCTTGTAAGCCTCTGTGACTCCATTTTGATTTTTAGTCTGACCTGTTGAGTTTCAATGCAGGAACCTGGTTCAAAGCAGTGTCTTCTTGAAAAATTTTTTAAGTTATTCTTTTTAGATAAACATGACAGTAGAGTGTATTTTGACATATTATACATACATGGAGTATAACTTACTCTAATTAGGATCCCTTATTAATTTTTATGAAATAAAAGTAATAGAAAAGCCATGCAACTAAATTAGATTTGTACATTTCACTGACTAGCAAATCTATAAAATGAAACGTCTACTAATCACATTATATATAGCATATTCTTAGTATTCTTTCTAAGTGTCTCCTGATTCACAAGACATAATTTGACTTCCAGTGACCAAAAAATCAAGTTGAATTAACAGTTTTTAGTCCTGTTCTCAGCTTAGTGAATATACACAAAGGGCTTTTGAAATCTACCAATTAACTCTTGACTGAATATAATAAAATGTATCACTCATTTCAACAGCCACTTTAAAACTTAGTGACTAAGGCAATTGTGTGTTTAATGGTTGTGAATGTCTTCTTCCATGCATGTTTATAAGCCTCTAAAAGTAATATACCAAGTGTTATACAGTTTGTATCATGTGAGTCATTTACTTCAGCTGTTTGACAACCATTGAGAGGCTCCTAATGCATTCAGTGGTTTAGAGACAGATTGAATTTATGTATAAGACACATTCCCTGGCCTCATGGAGCCTATACTATATTCCAGTTGAAAAGGCAAATTTAAAAATAAATGATTAAATACTTAGGTTATGTACAGACTATAATAAATACAAGTATAAAGACAAAGCAGATAAGAAGGTAAAGAACACATGGAACAGGAAGCAGAAAACTCTTCTTACTTTTTTTTTTTTATATTTTTATGAGTCCACCATAATTATACATGATAGTGGGATTCATTATGACATATTCATACGTGCACATAAAAGTTTGCTGCATTTCATTTCCCAGTGCTTCCTCTTTTTCTCTTCTCCTTTTGCCTGATCCCCCTCTCCTGTACACTACTAGTCTCCCTGCTACTTATTTATTTATTTTAATTGGGGCATTTTAATTATACATAAAATGGAATTCGTTGTGTTCTGTTTGTACATGCACATAGCATAATTTGCCAGTTTCATTCCTCAGTACCTTCTTCCCTTTCCCATTTCTATTCCCTCCCTCTTGATCCCCAAACTTTCCCTTAGTCTGCTTCTTGTTCTCCCATATGCTTTCCTGAGATTCCTTTTGTTTATTTCTTATTTCTCTCTAGCTTCTGCATATGGGAAAACATTCAACCTTTGACTTTCTGTTCTGTTTATTTCATTTAGCTTGATATTCTCCTTTTCTATCCATTTACCAGCAAATAACATAATTTCACTCTCCTCTATGATGAATAAAACTCCACTGTGTATATATACCATATTTTCTTTATCAACTTTTGTTGAAAGATACCAAGGATGACTCCGTAACTTGGCTGTTGTGAATTTTGCTGCCATAAACATTGGAATGCAGGTATCACTATAGCATGCTGATTTTAGTTCTTTTGGATAAATACCAAGCAGTGGGATAGCTGGGTCATATGGCAGTTCCATTTTGAGTCCTTTGAGGGAACTCCTACTGATTTCCATTGTGCTTGTATTAAATTGCAATCCCACCAACAAAGTATAAGTGTTTATTTTTCCCCACATCCTCACCAGCATTTCTTGTTATAGTCTTGATGCTTGCCATTTTGACTGGGATGAGATGAAATCTCAGTGTAGTTTTTGATTTACGTTTCTCTGATTGCTAAATATGTAGAAGGTTTTTCATATATTTGCCCACGTATTGACTATTTACTTGCTTATTTGGTGTTAAGATTTTTGATATTATTTCTGTCAGAAAGGTAGATGTGAAAGACTTTCTCCCAATTTTTTGGTTCTCTCACTCTCTCACTCTCTCTCCCCTCCCCTCCCC